AGGATGCCAGCAGATGGCAGATGGATCACTGCATCAGACAGCTACTCTTTGGAAGTTGTTAAGTGAATATAATTTTTTTTAATTTTACCTTTTTCCTTACAGAAAATTGCAGTGAATAACACTAGATTAAAAAAAGAAAAGATAAAGTATTAATATCCTGGTTTTTAGCAGCTGATGTAATAACACACTGATGCTGGCTAATAGTGTAATGTAATTAAACAAAATAAAAGAGATTGTCTTGAACAAAGTAAATCCATGAACAGAGGGGAGACTATAAAAAAAAGTCTATATTTTTAAGTGCTCTTCCTCTACAGTTACTGTCTTAATACTAAGTTGTTTCCCAGATTCTGTTTTTCATTCATTTTCAGGGAAGGAACTTGTACAAACAATTCCTGTCACTTCTGCAGAAAGAGATCAGAGAAGCCAAGTGAAAGAGAAGCTAGAGTTGATCAGGTGTATTCAGAAAGACAAACAATAAAGTTTAGGAATGGCAGAGGTTTGACAGGTGCTGAAAGAAAGCTTTCCACCAGCTCAGTGGGACTATCCTTACTGCTATGCCAGCCCCATTACACATCTGTCAACTAAGAATCACTTTTCCTAGGACAATTCCAAGGTTAGGTGATGTGTACTGCTATCTTTCATAAAAATATTAAGTGTAGGCCATTTTCACAGCATGTCTCTGAAAACTAGAGCAAAACATGTTCTCTAAGCTGAAAACCTGAAAGAGAAGTAACAGATGTGTCTGTTCTGATAAGTCCCTGGCTCAGTGAAGCACAAGTTGCTTACAGAGGCACAAAGCAGTGTTTTTTCAGTGGTGCAGCCTTGCCACCACTCATGTCTCTGGCTGCTTGCTCACGCCCTGTATTGCAATTCACAGTCTACCAGCTGTGTTGCCAGACCTGTCCTCTGTGTCCTGCTGGAAACCAGAGCACTGAAAGCAGAAACCGAGCTCAGGAACTGCTCACAGTGGCTCCACCTCAGGAGCCAGAAAATCCTGGAGTGCTCTCAGAAACATATTGTGCCCAGACTGAATTCCTGCATCTGTAATAAACTGCAAGATAGAGGAAGACCACTCAGGTTATCCATCTACTTCTGGTGAGAATCCAAACACTCATTCAAGGTTTGAAAAAAAAAACTATCCAAATTAGCCTATATTTAACTCATGATAATGGCAGCTGCTGTGCTCTGTAACAGTGTACTCTGCCTATGGAGTGCTTTCTATCTTTAGATGCTTGCAGACACTGTGTGTACAGAGCAAGCCAAAAGAATGGAGCTTTGTTCTACTGTTTATTATAGAAACATTCACAGGTTGTTCATAAGATCCCTCATGTATGTAAGATAAAAATACTACTTTTATGGCATTATGTCACCTTGAAATTCATATTTCATTTCTGTTGTGTCTGGAAAGTTTCACTGGGTGACAATCTATTTATAAGAATTATCAACTTTCAAATTAAATTTTGAGTGTATATGTGTTTTCTGAGGTGGTCTGGGAGGGCTGATACATCACTGGACCTAGAAATTGGATCCTTGTTACCAGTGTATATAGTGAATCTGGTGGCCTTGTACATACTCATTTTCTGGGGAATCACACTAACATGCATGTAAAAACAGACTGGGAGACAGGCTCTGCCCTAGATTATTGAAGATGGAACATACAGAAATAACCAGGAGCTGAGAAGACAGAGCTTTTGTGGGGGAAGCTTTGGTTTACATCTCTGACCTGGTTGATGCTTATTTACTTGTACCAAATATAATCATTCCAGTAGGACAGATGGCATAAACTGTTGGATTTATTTGGGATATCATCATCCTGCCAGTGCCTCTGTTTCCTAAAATGGTACATGAAAAGTTCTATTTTTTACAAAGCATTATTTTGCTATGAAATACCTCCAGCCCTACCTACTCATAAATGAGTAGATGTTTTCCTGGCTAGTTACACACTGATATAATGGTAACATTTTGGATTAGAAGATGAGCGGTGGCATGTGCCCAGCTCTTCTGCTGAAATATTCTGTCAATACTGTTGGGTTAGTGTGTACTTGATAAGAGCAGATTTTTTTCTCACTTTATGTAGTTCAAATTTTCCTTAAAAATCCCACAGAATGTGTGGGCTGATTACCGCAGTAGCTACATTTGAAATTCCTATGCTCTAATTTGTGGTGTTAATTAAGGTAGGTTTAGTAGGGCTCTGCACAGGTCATGTCAGAGGCACCAGAAATGCACTAACTCAAGTCCTCAATCCCCCTTCCATCTTTCCAGCTATGCCGAGGAATGCCAGAGGCAGGCTGTCCCTAGTGTGGCACGAGCTCCATGCTCATAGATACACTGTTGGATGGAGCAAGAGGAGTTCCTGTTAGGGAACTGCTTTGGGTGAAAGGATGCCAGTGACAACAGAAAATTCTCTCCTTGTCAGCTACCAGTGTGTGCATACCACACCTTACCTAGCTTCAAAAATGATCCTAACCACAATGCACTGGACACATACAGAAGCAGAGTGCTGAGACATATCAACATGGAAATTTGATGCATTACACACATGCTAAGTTTCTTCCCATTCTTTCCACAAGAAACTGTCCCAAACTGTCTGTGAGGACAAATAATACAGGTAGCTAATTTGTACTCTCCCTAGAGCATTGATGCACCCCATGGCTTCTCAGCTACCTCTGGAAGATTTGTCAGGCACACCACCCAACATTTTATTAAGTTTTTCAGTGTCTTTTTAGACTATGTTTGTTCCTTTTAGTTTCTTGGTAGCTACACTACTAATTTTTATGTCCTCTCTTTAAAGATGGTAACAGGCTGTTTTACACCCACAAACATACTGAATTTCAATTCATTTAGGAGACGGTTACAAAATAAGAGACAAGAGTTACACATTGAATTAAAATTTGCTCAGTGCTCAGTATTAAATCAAGAACTGTTACGCTACTTGAGGCTTCATCTGATTAGGTCCTAACATTTATGAAGCCTAACAGTGTAAATACAATGTGATAATAAATTACATAGTAATTAAAATTATAATGATTACTATATTCTGCATATGCTAAATGCTATGTAAATAATCACTTAAAGTGAAACCACTGGTATGATTACCAGTTCCTAAGATGCATGTAAATTCTAAACTCTATCAGAAATATTTCAAATTGCCAAAACTCATTACTAAGAGTAACAAAAGAAATTATGTACAACCCTGTTAACCAAATCACAGAATAATAGATGTAATGGAATGTAATGGATTTATGACAATCAAAATAAAGGGAATAAACACACATCTTGGCTAAACAGTGCCACAATCTCTAAATTCCTTTGGAAGCTGACAAAATACCAAGAAGGAAAACAAATACTTTGGATGGCTATAAGCAACAAGCAACTGCATTAACTGAAGAAAATGCAGGAATACTTTGAATACCAAAATAACTCACATTATGTGCTGAAGGGCAATATTTTGTATGAAACATTAGTATCATCTTTCATCTGTGAATGTTAAAATACTTCAAGTAGTGTATATACTATGCTTTAGCATGGAGGCTGGACTAGATGATGTCAAGACGTCCATTCCAGCCCCACTTATTCTGTGATTCTCTGATTATTTTAATCATAAACTATCATAGCAACAGTTTAATGGTCTTGTCCATGTCACTCAGAAATACAATACTCAGCTGACAATTAATCAAAGATTTTCTGACTCTCAATCCATTTTGTGACTTCAAGATAGTAATTTTTCTTGAGCAGAAGCAGGCTGGAATGTTCAGAGATTCCACTGAAGTGAAGCAGGTGTAATAAAAAGGTAGACAAAAAATAAACTAGGGATCTTAGCTGCGTTTTTGCCAAATTGAACTGAGATAATTTTTAATAACATTATATTCATTAAATGAAAATATAACCCTTGAAGTGCTCTCCAGACAGGCATGTACATGCTTACTCACCCATAATCACTAGTCATCTTTTTCTACATTTATTCTGATATACTCTTTATGCCCGGTCTGGGACACCTAAAAGCCATTTAATCAAAATAGAAAGTCCTCATTCTTCGGTCTAATACTTAATTACTTCCTTCCAAAAAAAGTTACAACTAATTTGCTTTCACCTGTGGGAATGTTTTAGGAATAGATGTCTGTTAAACTAACCAGCTTGGGCAGCTTCTCATCCACTCCATCCCTGCAAAGACTTATCTTCAGTTATGCCCCTTCCAAGGGAAGTATCACACAGGTCACCTCTAGAAGTTCTGCCTCAAAGAGAGAATCTCTGAAGTGAACTATTAGCGAGTTAGCAGAACAGCATTTGCCAGGTCAGTGGCACTGCTTGTGAAAGAACTGCTTGCAGCAATTCAGACTCAAAAACAGAGGGTACTGGCAACAAAAAAGGAAATTACATATGAGGAAGCCTACACAAAAATTTAAGGTAGGATATCTTCATGGTAGGCAGGGCAGAGAATGATCATGATTTCAGCCAGTGGCACTACAGCAGTTTTTGTAGTAGAGTTGCAGATCTGCTCCAACACATCTGTCACCCTGCAGCACAGGCATATCACTCAACTGTCTCTCTTCCAGTTCACACTCACAACAGAAACCCTGCTTTCCAAGTCTTTTAGGCTGTACCAGTAACACAGCCATGACCTGCTTCACATCTCTGTTCCTTCAGGGAACCAATACCTTCTCTCTGTTTTCAGTGAAGAGATGTACATATCTAAAGTAACTTGTGGTGTTTTGAAGACTGTTTTACAACAATTCCTTGTAAGAAAACTAACTTAGGAGATACATTTCCCAGAAATACTATCAATAAGGAAATTCAGAGTTGGATCTATAAGTCCTGCATCATCATCTGGAGAAGTCAATGTTTCTCTCCACTGACTGCAGGGATCCTTACAGACATTAACTACTATCTCAGCTAAACTGTAAATGTTTCATGGTGTCCAACATGTAAAAAATGCAGCAAGTAATAGCAACAAAATTAAAAGCAGGCTATAATACACAAGAAAAAAATGTCAGTGAACTTACTCTGAAAACCTGTTCCACCCTTGCAATACCCTTCCCAAAGATGGTTCCAAGTTGGTCTCCAATCCCAGCCAGCAAGAAGCCAAAGAGTGGAATCCCAAATAGGGCATACAAGATGCAGAAAACCTTGCCACCAACAGTGCTTGGGGCCATCTTGCCATATCCTGAGGAGAAAAACAATTGTCAGATTCTCAGAATTTATACACGGCTTTCAGAAAACAAACTAATGGGTTTTAACAAAGTGCTCTTCCTCCAGGCATACCTCTGTTCCACCTATAATTCCAATTTATAGACTTTCAATGGCATGATGTAATTTCCAGGGCAAGTCACACTCCGTTATTCCTTTTTTCTTGAAGCCTCAGTTACCCATATTTTCTCTAGATTCAGTCTATCTAAAATTGCTGTTTGCTTAATTGATCTAGCTGATGTCACAGCATAAAAATCCCTCCACGCTGGCCTAGTGCCTGCATGCTCTTGCTCCTCTTGGTCTGTGCCAATGGTTTCCTGACAGGAGTGTGATTCACCTGACAAGGCTCATTTTCAGTGGTTAGCTCATTCTTTCCTCAGCCCCTCATCACACTGACTAGTTATACTGCAGCCTCCAAACTGTACCCACACTATGCAAATCTGCCCGTGAACTCTTGTTTCAGTAAGCATTATGACTCCAGGAGACATGGTATTTCTGCTGAAATGTTAAAGAGAAGAAAAAACAATTGTGACAGTAATATTTGCACCTTTTTATTTAAGATCAGGTATTTTAATTGAAATGTCATATACATTTTTATTTTAACTATACATAAATACTTAAATATTAAAAATCATCACATAATCACAAATCACTGATGCAATAAAGCATCCAGAGAGGAGGAAATCTGTGAAAGTGTCAAGTCCTATTCCTGCTGGGTTCACAACACTGGCACAGAGTATATTTCTCTGTCATGGCATGCTGCAAGAATTATGCTGACACACAATAATGCATGTCTCATAACCTACTGTCCTTTTCATAGCTGGACCCATCATCCCAGATTTCTCCTAAAATTCCAAGAAATTTCAGGTTCCATAGGTCCCTGGACTGAGGTTGACCAGGTAACCTGCTGTGTTTCTGCCTAAAAGGAGCCTTAACAAGCCTCTGGTGGATAAACTAAAACCATTTTCATGCACACAATACACAGACTTTGTGCAGCCTATAAAAATCTCATTCATGGAGAATTTAAAACAAATAGGCAAAATAGGCAAATGGGCAAAAATACAAGGTCTTTTCAATAAGTTATTTAAATGGCAGATATCAATTAATATGCCTGCATAAACTATGCCTACAAAGCGGAATTTATTTAATGAGTAATTTAAAAGCTTGCCACTTGGGTCTGTTGTGTAAACAAATATTAAGGGAGGGTTTTCTTATGTATGAATCAGAAATGTTTTCTTTCTTGCCTCCCGCTGCTTTTATGCTACCATCAAAAATACATGGTAAGGTAGCTTAATATAGAGGAACACAGATTGTGCATTCTATACAATCCCTGTTTCCCCCTCAATCTGACAGCAAAGAAAAGGCAGAGCCAAAGACACAGACTCTACTGCTAGAGATGATCACCACAGCAAGTCTTTTGACTGCCACAGGATTTTGTTGTTGTTGTTATTGTATTACCTGCATTAAAAACCTACAGAATTTAGTCAGATTCTCACACTTTATTGAAGGGTGATGTGATTATCAAGTTATTTGTCTGTACTGTCACCAGTGTGTGCATCACAGCTGTAATGTGGAGAAGCACTTTATACAATATTTAAATCAGAATAATACTCATAGAAAACACAAACAAAAATCAACAATTTACCAGTGATTTCCAAATAATTAGATCTCTTGATTTGATTTTTATGACACTAGTGAAATCAAGCTTAAAATTATAAAACTACTGTATAATTGTCAGCAGATTAACTTTATCGCCAATGTTATTGGATTATTTTCTTTTTCCTTCAGACTGTCTTCTGAAATCCAAGCTTGTTGAGCATTCTTCAAGAGAGGAACTGGCTCAGAGAGGAGAGATTAAAAACCTTAGCATATCTGAGGCAAACATTCAGAGATCAAATTCTAAATACATTGGACACAATACATGGGGAGAGAGATTATAAGGGCCTGAATAATGATCTTATTAAAATTAGTGGTTCAAAAAAAAGTGAATGGAGTAGTTCAGTATACTCTTCATTTAACACAGAGAAATGTGTCGGTAATTAAGGCCATGAATTCCAGAAAATAAAGAAAGTGGTTTTTTATACACAATGTGTCATTTGTGGAATTCTTTCCAATTGTTAATGAAAGCAAGTAAGAATTTTAAAAAGGATGTAATAGTTATGAGACTATATTTCCAGTTAAATGAGAAGAATTGCTTCTATCAAACTTCATAGCATAAGCCAAAATTAATTAATGTACTTAGGAAGAAAGTTACACTTCTGAGCAAATTCATCTATAATCTTAAAATCCAATTTAAATTCCCAACAATCATAAAATATTTCATTTGGTACAGTTTCATGATCTTTTCAGTGAAAATTGAGACCATCTACATCTACATCAAGAATAGGGTCATAAAGCCTGCATAAGAGTTGCCTGTTTTCAGCTCAGCATTGCTATTCTACCCTAATAATGTAAACAGCTTCTGACACCTACCCAAAGACTCAGTGCCCTTGGCACATGCTGGAGTCATGTCTCCTGCTAACAGAGAAATATACTTCAGCTACTTTACTTCTTTGTTGTCTACCTTTCTCAAATAGATTTCATTATCCATGTCTCAGTGTGACTATGTATTTTAAAAAACAAACAATAAATATACCTATAGTTGTGATGACTGTTCCAGCAAAGAAAAAGGCACCTCCAAGGTCCCAATGACTGCTGTTGTTAGAAGAATTTCCGATGGGACTGACTCCTGCATTATCAGCATCAACAGCATGCTGCAAAGAAAATACAAAGAATCAGCATGATGCATGCCTTACTGTATCCTATGCAATTTGGTATAGGGTCCAAAGGGAAATTTCTAGGACCATGGAAACAGCTTCCATTTAAGTTTTTAATATGTGCTCAAAGTACAGTAGCTTCTTCTGTACATGTAAGTCGAATATACAACTGAACTGAATATCCATTCAGGTAGAAGAAAGATACAATGCATCAACAAATGACAAAAGATAGAAAGCAATTGAGAAGTGGAGGATCAACACCACAAATTCCTCCATAAATATCATTCTTGTAGCAACTACTGCCAAAAGAAAATTTCCTCAATTGAACAGTTCATGTTAGAAGCAGCTACAAAGGTGTTAAATACAAATAATATTTGTGCAATCAAGAGAAGCTAGTCAGCCAAGGATTTAAATTCCCAAACAATCAATAATTGATTAAGTAATTTATATTTTATGATAATTAAAGAAAAAAATATTGGATATAAATACACCCTGTTTGAAATGAACAAATAAGATGCCTATGGAAACATCTTAAAAAAACTTTGTGATCAGCTCAAAAGTTACCACACTACACATGATCCCATGTACACAAATACAGCATGATACAGAGACTCCCAGACAGTGCTTGAATGAAGTATATTCTGGATAGAAGCTGAGATAGCTATACTTCCTGGTCATTATCCTGTGTCCCACTTAGTACTGAATCAAATCAGGCAGACATATTAGCCTCCTGAATGTTTGTTGGGAATTTCTAAAAATGCACCATATTGTATCATGGGACACACACATTCATTTTTCATTGCAGCTTCACAGTCCAAAGGAAGACAGAGCTGAATACATCAGCTTACAAAGCACAGAAATAAACCTCCTGTCAGCATCTGGTATAATCACCTGAATTACTCTAAACTGATTTTTGAGATGTCCTACAGAATGTATTTTGCAGTTGGTTTTAGATCTCATGCAAGCTATTCCTCATCATAGAGAAATTCAGATCTCACTCTAGAAGAGCAGCTGAAATGACTGCCTTTCTCCCTTCCAAATGCTCTCTAGTCTAATTTCTATAAAACCACTGCAGAGGAACCAAGCTTCTCCTTTTCTGCCTCCTAACATTTCTAGCTTTTTGCTTTTCTCCCATTCTGCTCCAACCTCACTTCATGTTGCTGTTATCAGCTGCTCACACTACTGCCAGATCATCTCATTCTCCTGTTATTTGTTCCTCCTCCTAAATAGTGCCACCAATCTTTAGCCTTGGTAGTTTCAGTGAACTTACTGCTGGGCTCAACAAGTGAAGCAAAGCGCTACCTCTTGCATCCTCTTTTTCTTTGGCTTTGTTCAACATGGAATTCCCACCTATCAACACAGGTTTGACTTTTATTATTCCATTTCTTTAACTAGTTCTCTTTTCTTTCTGATTTATGATCTATGAATTGTCATGGTGGTTTTCTATTTCACCTTTTCCTATACAGTCCATGTGCAAAGCAAGGTTAGCCATTCTATTTTACCATTGCCCCACTTCTTACCTGATCATGTCTGTGAGGTCTCTCTTGATCTTCTCCATAGCTTCACATTCTCTTGTGGGTTTAGCACTGACTTTTAAACTCATCCATTTAACATCATTTCTCTCCCTAGCCTTCATGATACACTTTTTTCATCATTAATGTTTCCACCAATGGCTTATTAACCACAGTTTTTATTTTCTTCCACTTCCATTTTTCTCACTCATTTTTGGTCTATATTTCCAAGTGACTTCAAGGTCATAAATGTTCCTCTACTGCTTTTTTAGCCTGGGCAAGTTTCAGCTAATCTGCTTCCCAGCTTTTAGTTATTCATCATTACCTCACAAAAAGGGAAAGGAGTGGGAGGAGAGGCGTATGGGCAAGAACAGAGACAGCTACATCTGAAAAGATCAGTAAGGGACAGCCCTTTTTAAAAGTACATCTACTACATGCCAGGCTAAGCTGATTGTGAAACTATAGCATGAGCAAGCTCCAGGCTGGACTGGTTTCACCTCATGTGGGCAGAAAGCCAGGGCTCCTCAGCACATGTCCATACCTCAAGAAATAAGGATATAGAGGACAGATGTGTTTTGGACCAAACCCATTGGGTTTTACAGCAACTGTACCAGTTGCTGGCATATTGCAAGTGGTGTAAAAGAGATCATTTGCTGGTTTCTGCAGAACAGCATAAATCAGCATAACAGACAGGTTGCCCATTTAAATAGGCCATGACACACTGTCAGCTACCCTGGTTACTTCTGCCAAGGAATGCTGTCTGCCCTCCCCTTGAGTGTGTGAATGTCAGCAAGCTAATTACACTTAAATCACACTTGAGTTTACACAGTTTAACAAGTCTTTCAGGGCCAAGCACTAACCCCTGAAGTGAAGGTCTATCCTGTTGCCTCAGATAGCTTTGAGATTCTCAGACTCCCTTATCATCCCAAACAAATTAATTTTTCTTTAAAGCTTCACTGACATCATTCATTTATAAATAACCAACTATTCCAATGCTGTCTTTTAATACCTAATATTTTGCATACAGCGATGGAGGACAAAAAAAGAGTAACAAAACAAAAGCAGCTAGCAGCCTGCAGCTAACAGCAGTCAAACAACCAATTTTCAGCTCATGCATGAGAAAAGGATGCCTTACTACTACCACCACAAGTCCACCTACACAGAACTATCCTGCTAGATGAAAACTGACACAAAATTCAAACAATTATACTATTACTGGCAAGACTCTCCAAGTTCACATAGACCACAAAATTTTACAAGTTTCTCATCGAAGCTTCAGATAGGCTTTGCAGCAATGACCTGAAGAGCTGCATCCTCAGGTTCTCTCAGAGTAGGAAAAAAAGATAATTTCCAGTTTGCTAAGCCCTATGTTAACAAGCCCCACATATTTAAGATATTTTAAACTAGTAGTTTCAGCTACTTTTATAGTTGAAGTATTGTTGAAAGTAACAGGTCATGAAAGTACCCAAAGCTGTTTCACACTTGCTCCTTTCCTGTTCCCTTTTTCCTTCTCCAGAGGAGCTACAAGCACAACATACAAGTAAACAGTATTTTTTGAGTATAGCTTATTAATTGAAAGTGCTTATTAACTGAAAGTTATTCTTTACTGAATAACTACCAACTTATGGTAATTTTTTTCTTTTGAAATGCCACCCATTTCAGGGAAGGCAATAATTTGAAATACCTCAAATGGCTGAAATTGTCTTTCTGGATGTGCAAGTAATGGATGTGTGTTCAAGCCAACAGACTGGTAGAAGTGAAGAGAATGACAAAACTACTGAAATTAATAAAATTATGTGATATTATTTGTTTTTTAAAACATGTATTTCTGATCACAACTTTCTGGTTTGCTCCCTATCACTGCATAGACGTGCACTTTACTCTCGGCCCCTTTGGTATCAGTACAGTCCTTCTGTAACAAAAGAGACATGGCCTGGTGACGTGGTCTGCATGGGACCAAAGGCAAACCTCAGAGCAGAAGCCCAGAATTTGTAGTGACACTGGGACAATTGAATCCTGTATTCCCAAAGAGAGTGGAACCAAACCACATCTCAGTCTGAAGTACACTTATTTCATCAATTCCACTTGCATAAGCTTCAAGATAGCTGGAAGCCAGTGCAGCTGATTAGGAGAGAGAAGCAAAATAGACTGTTTCTGGTTTCTCCATGAAGAAAGGTTTTTATCTGGTTCATTTGTTCACGTTTCTGTAATTTCTCCAGTTAGATCCCAAGTATGAAGAAGACAAATCTTTTTCAAGGGCAAGCGTAATATCCCTCTCAAGTGATGAGACAGTCAAAAAGGTACCTACCCTATGTGATATCAAGGATAGGAATTTGATAGGAAAAGAAAATTCTTGTCCTTTTTTTGTCTATCTCTATTAATTCCTTTCCACAGATCATTCTAATCCAATAATTATTATCTCCCTCTACAATTCTTTTTCCAAGCAGATTCCTATCAAGCATACAAAAAGTTGCTTCAATTGCCTTTCATGCTCTGATATTTCTCTGTAAGGATTATTAGGAGGCTTCTCATTAGCAAGAAGCTTTTAAAAACTAATTCTTTAATAATTTTTTTTCTATATTCCCTAACTCTCTACTTATTCTCACCACCCTTTATATGATGTATAGGGACCTTCATTATAAATTCACATTTATTCACTTTTCCACAACAGCATTTTCTCAGGACCAAGGAAAGCAATTTTTTTCAGATTTAATCAAAAATGACAAGCTCTCAAAGCCCATTCCTTAAATATTTCTGCCTATCACACAAAGGGCTTTAGGAACCAGAAATCAGCCAGAAAGTGATCTACCTTCACTTAGAGTGATTTGATAGTCATGCATGCACTGTGTCTGAGGGTAGATCTACAGCATTCAATGAGTGATATGCACAGAGAACTAAGTACAAAAGGTTTAGATCTCTGCAAAGGCATCAGCTAAGCTCTGGAAGCAGCACAGCTACGGGAAAGCTGCAGACTTGTGAAGCATCTTAGGCTGTCTCCTACACAGCTGGAACAGCTCTGTATTGGTGTTACAAACCAGTGTGCCTGCACCAACTAGGACAGGACCCAAGACATCTGAATCTTTTCCTTCTAGGAGGAATAGGGTAAAATAAAGATAGGGGCAGAAGGGAAGCTGGGACGAGTTAACCACCAGAGGCACAGGTAGAAGGTTCAATAATCAGATACTTACCTCTGTTTTTCTTCACAGTACAAAGTCTTTTCTTGTCTTCAGCCACATGCAAGTCTTCTCCATAGTTAATTCAAAGTACTATTTTTTGCCTGACTATTTAGAGTTTTCTTCTAGCACATGAAAATTCTTTTCCTTTGACATGGAAACAGCCTGGAAAAAAAGCTGGTTTATGACACTAATGAACCAAGCAGCAGCAAAATTAAGCATCTCTGCAGGATGTGTCCTTTCTTACCTTCAGGGCAAAACTGGTTCAGAACACTAATCCAAAGTGCCTACCCAAGATATGAATTCTTACTAACATAATTAGGCAGTAAAGCCTGACTAGCTTATTCCCAGCTCTGCTTCTTTTCCAGCTTGCAGTCTAGCTCTAATGGGTTGCTGTAGCCATTAGTGGACAGCAATAATATGACTTAGTTAACAGATGGGTGATTTTTTTAATATACATATATACTGTAATCACTCACACTCCTAAATTAAACCCTGTTGGACAAGGCAGAAGAAAGCAGCCTGACAATAACATAAGTTCTGAAGTAGCAAGCCTCTCTATCCTGCATAATTTTGCAGGGTTCATTAGGAAAACAAGGTGCATTATGGAAGTTTATACCCATATACAGTACACAGGATATATAGAAACAGTATGAATGCCCTTATCAGGTCCATAGGAATTACTCTGCCAAAACACAAAGATGGTCTTCCTATCTCTTCTAATGATAGATGAAATCTGAACTTTCTGAGAAGCGTAACCTCCCCATTATACACACTGTGTGTGTTATTACAAAGGCAGGATGACTTGGTTTTGAACACAGCTATTAATAAGATTATTTTATAATACATAAAAACAAAAAGAAAAGGTTTGTAGTATGTTAGCAATGTTACTTTTCTTTTCAACTCTATGTCCAGTCACCTAAGTCCTGCTATCTTCTGCTATTTGATCTAATAAATACAATGCAGCTAATTGTACTTAAAGAACCTGAAGTTTCATTGTCTTTTAGCATATTCTAGGTTTCATTTTCTCTAACTCTGAAAACTCAAAAGCATTGAGATAGAACACACAATGTTCTCATTTTCTTAACCTCATATTCACTATTTTGCCAAGCTACAGATCACCTACAACCTTAAACAGTGTACTGGATTCACTGCAACAAATATTTTCAGATACAGAAATGGGCTTTAAAAATTCACAGTTAAGAACTTCCACTTGAAGTGGCTTTAGAAAATTTGGACTGCACTGTGAAACACTGGACATTGTTATGAAAAAATTACCTGTCATTGTGGGAGTATTAGATGGACTTGAACCAAAATCCAGCAGTCAAATAAAAATTTAAAATACTTTGAATCTTCCTAAGAATTTGCACTCCTTTCATCACTGTATTTCTTCTGAAGACTGTGAATGAACTTCCAAGTCTGGACTCAGCAATTTATATTTGTGCTGCAAGTGCTAATATTTGCAATGGGTGTTTGGAGATAAAGCTAAAAAGGATGTCTCATCCCCACTAAATTTTAACAGCATCCTCATACAGTGCTGTACATCTTCCTTACAGGTTTTCCAAAGGAGAATCCTTTGAAAGATTGAAATTTAGGAAAAGGTATATATTTCTCCATCATTAGTCTCATAAGGATGAGGATACTCCATTGGTCTTCTTAAAAGATTGCTCCAGAGCCATCCCCACAGTAAAATAATACAAGTTAGTTCTAAGGTTTCCCTTTTTGTATTGTTCCATACTCTCCAAAGCACAGAGGCAAATCAACACAGTCATTCTGCAGAGTATGATCTGTGTTCATCTAAGAGCTTTCAGGTATTCAAATAACATTAATTATGAATAGTTCCCTTAGCAGTAGACTGCACACAGCACAGCAGCTAGGATCCATGGAGGTTGCCACATCAGTCTAAACTCACAGCTGTAAAGGCAGTTGCAGCATTTGGTGCAATGCAGAACTGTGTTGGGCCAGCCAGGGGGATGTCACTTCTGAGATCATCAACATGAAGCTGTGGAAGCCCAGCGTTAACTCCCTGACATCTTCAAGCAAGTTCATTCACTGCTATTCTGTGCAAGTCAGTTACAATCACTTCTGTATAAACGTACCCAGCTACATTCTTGAAGCTGGTTTCACCCCCAGACATACAGAAGAATCCAAAGAAACTTGTTCTTTATTGACAAATCTATTTCAATATTTCATATTATTTGGCTTTAAGACATTCAAATCCTAAGCTGATAAACCCATTTTAATTTATTTTTGCACTATGACTTCCAACTACCCATTGTAATGCCTGAGGACATACTGAAATCTCAGAAGATAAGAAGATTTGTCCATAATATCTGTCTTCTAATAACAGAGTATGTGTGTTCTTTATCACCACTTTTGAGGTAGAAGAGAAAAATATTGTGTAAAATAAAGAATTGGTGTTTGTACATAACTTAGGCTAGAGAATAAAGGCTGTTTCTACTGCAGTTGGTATGCAGAACTCCACAATCTGCTGAAGTGCTTTGCTGGTTGTACCTTATATGAGTTCTGCTTTCTGGTTGGAATGAATGTATTTTACATATCTTTTACTGGTGACAATCCCACCAAGGGAATAAATGCTTCTTGCATTTAGTGTTTTCAAAACATCCTTTAATCATTATTTCTAAGGAGTAGCAGGAAATTCAGATCTTTGCAATTCTGCCAAGAAAAACACATCTGAACCAATATCCCTGGATCCTGCCAACCTAACATGTTCACCTGTCTTTTGCAGACAGATCAAGGATGTGATCCAAGCCATCCCTGATCCAAGCAATCCTGCAAAAGCAGCTTTGTCTTGTTAGTTGTTGCACCAGGCTGCCCAAAGGTACAGGTTCAGCTACACAGTTTTTGACTCAGAACTGACTGTCTTTTGTGAACACAGAACACAAGAGGGAGAGACCACATCTATTTGCAAAGAAGTTTAGGCTGAAAAGTAAAAGGCCTTTTCTATCACATCAGTGAGATATTGTAACATCTTATTAAAAGAAATAAGTTTATAAATTTGATTCACCTACAGAAAGGGTTTTTTAATACAGCTGACTGGATGGACACAAGAATTCAGGGGATAGATCCACATTTTTTCAAACAGCCTGAAATCAATGACAGATCTCTGGTCCAACACCCCAGAGGGAAACACAGTGCTCTTGGAAGGCTGACACAAATTCAGATCTGAAATATGAGGCTGAAGTTTAAATCTGTTCCTTAGGTACGTTACATTTCTTATCTAATCTTTGTTTTCTCTGGGCTAACTGATAGGCTTCTACATGGAATCCCAGAAGATACTCTACTAAAGTCTTGTAAGATCCATAATACTTTCCTTGTCTAGAGTTCTAATCAATGAGAGATACATCTTTCTTGCCTGTTATTACATTTTCCACTTATCCTTGCAAACTTGATAATAATTTCCTTCAAAATTGATTCTAAAACTTTTCATACTACATCAGACTAAAAGTCCCAAAGCTTTTAAATGACAATTACTTTCTATTTTGATTTGCATACTTCATCCTCCTTCATTTATTTAAAAATTACAACAGTAAACCTGTAAGTTCAGAATTCTTGGCTGAATATTTATTTCAAAAATCCCACCTATCACGTTCTATGTGCCCTCCCAGTTGCTGTGTTTAATTTTGAAGATAGAATCAAGAATTTAAGACCACTTGAAAATTTGTAGAGATGAGGGCCTATGTCTTGCAAATCTATCACCTCACTCAAAAATATTTTCCAGATATTACATTCTTCTTTTCTTTGCACACATCTGTCATTATTCTAGTGAATTCAAGTACCAATCTCTTCCTTCTCATGACCAGTGACAGGACACAAGGAAATGGCCTGAATCTGAATCAGGAGAGATCTAGGTTGCATATCAGGAGAAAGCTTTTCACCCAGAGGGTGGTTGGGCAGTGGTTACAGCTCCAAGACTGATAGTGCCCAAGAAGCATTTGGATAATGCTCACAGGCACATGGTGTGACTCTTAGGATGTCTTGCACAGGGTCAGGACTCAATGATCCTGATGGGTCCCTTCCAATTCAAGCTTATTCTATGATTCTATGGTTCCATATTTACAATATTTTGGAGACATAGTTTTTGCTTCTCAGACCTTAAAATGCCTACGAAAGAGCTTGCTCTTCATGCTGCCTATTCCAAGGCCTTTGTGAACAATTTTGTCCCTCACCAACTCAGCTGGTCAATAAACCACTGAGCTGTTCTTCCTAACCTCCAAGAAGTACCATCTTCTTTACATGGCCTACCTGAATCAGTGTCTCCAGCTCTAGCTCAGTTACACAAACATGCTCCCGAAGAAAGTCAGCCTTCTCTGACGCGATTGTGTTCTTCTGCTTGCTTTCGAAGGGCTGCTCCAGAGCACGGAAGACAAGTCCTCCCGCCACTAGGTAAACTACCACCACGATAAAGATGGCCACCACTGCTCTCCAATCCATGACTTTCTGACGGCCTTGAGAAGGGGTTTCCATGGCAGCAACAACAGTGGACCGGGAGGAAATGGAGAATTGTGGAGATGGGTAATGCCTGATAGATTTGGGCTCAGGCTCACAAGCTGGCACTGCTGAGGGAACAGCCACTGAAACACAAAGCAAAAAACCTTATTCAAACTCAAATCTCTTAGGGTATGACCTCTATTTTCATAAAATAGACAGTTTTAAAAACTTTCCTAAATAACATTTTCAAGACTTTTACATAAATCTTGTTCTTCACTTAGATACGGTTCTTATCATCTAGAAGGTTCCATGTCTGCTTTGTCCACCCATACACAAGAGTTTGCTTTTCCCATTACCTCTAGAGCTTTGCCCATTACCTCTATAACTTCACCCATTACCTCTAGAACTGGACAGGCCAGTTACATGTGCAAAAAGTTCAGAAATATACAGAAAATCACTTATGCAAAATTATGTGAAAATTCTGACCAGCTGGGACATAAATTACACATGATGGTGTTTGGTGAAGGACCCTGGGAGCGATTTGCGTCCTTAAATCATAATTTTAATATTATTAATAGTGCTAAGAAATTAACTGTTAATGAACACTGATCACTACCTGACCTGGTATTGACAGAAACAAAAATGCTTTGCAAACCACAGTGCTATTTGGCTCACTAACATAAACTGTCCCATACTATTTACCTGGATTCACAAAACCATCACTCATGAAAACATCCTTAAGCCCTGGAAGCTTCACAAAGTTTAAAATAAATCATGTGTCGGCCAGAGTATACAAGATGTCTGAGGTCAAAGTTACAAGCCAAGTGCAACTGTTGACCTCTCACCTTGGGACTGAGACACGGCATAGCCCAGATGACCTGTACAATACATCAGAGCTAACAAGCCCTGACCTCCAGTTGGACTTAATAGCCTGACTTCTGTGTCAAGCTAACGGTGTATGTAAATCAAAGCTGGGTCACCTCCAAATAATTCAGGTGTCTCATCATTACACTTCCCCACTCCCTGTTGCCAGTGTTACCAATGGCAAGATGAGGCTGGGTTCCTCAGCATTCACTGATATAATGGTACCACATGTAGAATTTGATTATGCTGGATTCCTTTTTAACCAAATTCCTGTGTAATCTTACTATGGTGCAGCTACCACTGGCCTGCAATTTCTTTGAAACCAAATTAATTTTATGCATATAAGACCTAAATCAGATTACAGTTAAAATACAGCTACTTTAGGTGCATCCTCTGAACATATTCACAATGTGTCTTTGCTGTCTCAGAAATCAAAACAGAAAGATTTACAACATCCCATCAGAGTGGCATGGCAACCCCATTCTCTAAAATCTAAACATACAACATGATTATACCTTGAGTCTGAAGAGGGCCACAACTCTTTCCCAAAAGAAAATGTTTTATGATACTGAATAATTTCAGAACAGAGGTGTTTAGTACAGTCATATTTTCCTACAAGAAATACAACTCTGAAGCATTGCATGGAGGATAGAGCTTCCAGCTTATTTGATAATCAATAAACTACAGAAATCTATAGTTGCTTTACACTTACAGTTAATATTTCATTTCATATATGATTTAGAGGTTCCAGATACCAAATAGTTTAGAAAGGATCCTGAATCAGAGCAAAAGCTGTTATGGTCGATTCCTTTTTTGTTTGTTTTACAACACCCTGTGACATAGCTGTTCAGTTTGACCATCAAAGGATCTTTATAGTTCCCAGCACTTTTTAACCAGGACAGGATGACATCAAACTTAAATGGATATTTTTTCTTACCTCCAGATATATTTCATGTGACTATTGAGAACTTTAATGTGAATTAAATTAAGAACATTATTGTGACAATAGGAAGAGTGACAGTATTAGAAAGAAGTCATACTTTTTGTAAGATATCAGTACGTTTATTCTCTGTCTCCTGAAAGTATTATTGTAATAAATACAGTGAATTTCAGCAGAAAACACCAGAGGAGTATGAAGAAGAAACATAAAACATTGAGGTTTGTATGAAGCACTTAGAATTTCCCTTTCTCTAAAGGCAAGTATCTTAAACCTGAGTCACAACATCTCCTTACCGAATGAAATGTGAGTACTCACAGAAGTGGCTCAGCTGACAACTCAGTGTTTAGCTTCCATAGATTCCATAGGATTCATACAATTTTAATTAGTTAGAGCATATAACTACTGTTTATTTTGTAAACCAACATAAAATCTGTGAGCCTGAGGGCTGATTTTTCATGCTTCAGATTACTCAGCATCAGGATCCAAGGCTCACATGGTAAGAAGAGAGCAGAATTCATGAGAAAGAATGCTACAATTTTTTGAAACAGGCCTACCTTACCAAAACTGATACAGTCCAGTGTAGACTGGGTAAGCTTCTCAGTGGAAAGCAATGTCTGCCTTTGATATGACAGAAATTAGTCAAGAAGCTGGAAGTCAAGAGCTGGTATCATTAAAACAGTGTTTGTGAGTTTTCTTTTCCTGTCTACTAGTATAAATGTTTTTTCTTATTCAAATAGTGTTTCTGGCAAAGTGTTAGCAACAGCCTTACAGTAAAATCATGGCCTTTTTGATTCTGTCTTCTATGGAAAATGTTTTGTGCTGATTTAAGAAGATGGGAAGTTCACAGTAGAGAGCATAAAACATTCTTATAAATATTTTGTCACTTAAACATCTTAGTGGATTACTGTGCTCAGCTTGCTTATCTCTTAAAAGAAGAATTGTCTTAGTTTTTCATTTTCTCCTATAACTAATGGCTGTCCTAAGTGGATGTAGACCTTGTTGTTGATTTACCCTAAAGTATTTTATATTATATAAATAAATTCACAGGAAGAATGTACTAAAGCAGCTAGTTAAGCAACTGATGTGTAACAGAATGGTCTTCTTACAAAGTCGATGAACAAGGCACAACGGCAGTCAACACTGCAGAGATTTTAAGCAGGAGTTAGGTGTTGGAAGAACAGTGTAGATACTCCATCTAGGAGCTATCCAACTCTTTACAAGACAGTGGGGTTAGTGACTTAAGCACATGGCAAGTCAGAAATCTTTAATTCTAATTGGAACACTCAATTCTCTTGTCTCTGTGAAACTGTACTCTCACAAAAGTGCTGCCATTTGCCTTTAAACCATGGTTTCATCAATATGCAGAAAGAGAAAGTAGTGCTTATTTTTTCTACAAGTGCCCTGGGAAAGTCCATTTCTGAAAATAAGAGCTACATAAAATTCCAGAAGTTCAACAAGCAGTTTTACTAAAATCAAAGGATGAACTACATTGGCACTTCAGTAATGTGCAAAAGTATACAGCTTAAAAAAATGAAGGACTGCATAAATTGTTGCATTTGTAGAGATGGTTTAGACCATAGTTTAGGACAAACATAGAGCAAAAGAGAAGAGGATATGTTTACAATTAATGCAGGACAATCCCTACTTCATTTGTTCATGTTTTTTCAAAACGAGCTGCTATCAGAACTTTTATCAGGCTTTTCCCCAAACAGAGCCTCATCAATATTTTTCTTAAATCATGTCAAAGAATATTTAATCAGTCTCTGAAAGCAATGATAGATATCCATTCACATGCATGCACTATGTTAGCTGACAACTAATTTTATAGGTACAGGAACCCTCAAAGAGGCACTCCTGTGTTTCAAAACAGGCCTTATCCCAGTAAAAGGATGCCAGAGAGCAAAGAAAGGTAAACTCCTGATTTTTTTTATAACCTTCAAAGTGAAACAACTGAAGATATTAATGCTACAAATGAAATTGCAATCTTAGGATCTGTACATTTATTCACATCTGAGATCACTGCATTACCTGGGCTTGTACTGGTGAACATTGCTGCCGCGTTTCCAGGTGATGTGTGATGAGATAAAATACCTCAGATTTCTGCTAATATTGATGAGAATTAAAAAGCAAAACATTCACTCATCATCAAGATGATAGGGTAAAGTTAAACTGGTTAAAGCTGTAGGCAATTCCCTCCCATGGCGAGCAGCAGGCCCAGCATGCTGACCAGGCCTAGCCCATAGCAGGGTGTGCTGCCTCCTGGGGCCTGGGTCACGGGCACACCTCCCAGCCTGGCATGGCCCTCAGACTGCTGCCCGCTCCTGACGTGCCACATAAGGGGCCAAGGGAAGGGCAACACGTAGTCCAAGGGCAATCAAAAACTTCTGGGCCTTCAGATGTTTGGTTGGGAAGGGAATCAGGGGTGTGGGTTATATTCTCCTCTCTTGTTACAGTTGAAGGCAGCAACATGGGAAGAAATGGACACACTGAATCTGTGTCTCCATGGCTGGTGTCATCATCAAAATTTTGGGGGTTTTGACAATGAAACTGTTCTACACAGCCCCAGGCATGCTGGCGTCAGATGGGATTTGTCTTTCTCAGTGGAGGAAGAAAGCCTTTGCTCAGGAATTAGTGAGGCTCCATGGCAGGACTTTGAACTAGATGTGAGGGGGTAGAGGAGCAATATGAGGGGATGTGAGGGGCAATATGGGGCTTGTCCCTGGCAGATGTGAGAAGACATGAAAATAGAGGGACAAGAGTGCTAACAAGGGCTCTGCAGTGACTCTGAACTGTGCTAGCCATCCTGGACCATAGCTGCAGTCTTAGGGAGATGAGCCAGGGACTCCTAACAGAAACCACAGGGAAACACCAGGGAAATGTCTGAAAAGAATAATGGGGTGTTCCTCTAGGAAGGCAGCTTGGCAATCCCAAGGAGCAAGAAATTGGACAAGGAAGGCAAGAGACTGGTATAGCTGAGGCTGAGTAGGGAACTGCTGGTCAAGCTAAAGAGACAAATGCACAGAAGGTAGAGACAAGGGCGTGTAACCTGGGAAGAGTATAGAGATTAAGGGCTGGGGTAAGGAAGGCTAAGGCAGAGCTGAAACTGAACCTCACAAGGGACACCAATAATAACAAGTGCTTCTATTGGTGTGTTAACCAGAAAAGGAAAGTTAAACAAGCCCCCTGATAAACAACAGTAGCTCCCTGATAAACACTGGTGAACTGGTAACAACAGATGAGGAGAAGGCTGGGGTACTCAACAGCTTTATTGTACTCAGTCTTCAGTGACAGCCTGTGTTCAACTGACTTTCGGCTATGAAAATATCAAAATGTGGCTTCGCTACAGTGACCTGTATCCTGGCAACTATCTTACTCAAAATGCTAAGAACATATGAAATACAAAGAAACCTGGTTTTGGAGGAGAATTTTTAAATGGTTTAAACCAAATAATTTATTTTTTTAAATAAACATGCCCTCTCTATGTTACTGCTGTCACAATTTCTATTGTGAAAAAATGTAAGGTTTAATAGCGTCTTATTTAGTACTTTATTTTCTTCCACATTCCTGTGTTACACAGGTACACAGCAATGTGTGTACGTTTTAGTGAGAGAATAATAGACACATCTAATAAAAATGCTGCATTCACAGGATTCAACACAGAATTACATAGAGGCCATATGCACTTACACATTCACAAACTCAGCAACAAGCTTTAAATTTGAAACATGAGTTGATCAAAAATGAAACTGGACATTTAATCTCTCATTTTAGTGATGTCATTGGAAGAAGGAAACAAAATACTTTCAGCTGAAGTAAAAAGGTTTGTTGATGCTTGTCTAAAGGTGCATACCAATATTTGTTTCCCAAAATACTCATACAGGAGGATACAACAGGAGGTTTCTTTAAAGTAAGGAATTTATGCATTCTTCAGACATGTTCATAGTCAAATATCTGAATTGTCCCATGAAACCTTTTTTATGTTTAAAATAATCTAGAAATTTAGTTAGAACTATAAAGTAATCTCATCATGTAGTCCAGTTTCACTGAGAAAATTCATGAGCAAATAGTCTTCCCTACAGCTTTTACAAGATCCTACATTGGGTTATTGGCACTTCTGCATCCTTCCTGTAGCACTATTTAATAAGCCAGCATTCCTTCATGAACTAATATAGAAATACAATTTTTTTGTCAAGTGTATGAAGTTGCAGGACAGAGCTCTCATGCATCAAAGCTCAGAAATATCTGTGAGGTGTTAACAAAGTCCACTACAGCTTCCCTGAACAGACTACAAAGAGTAGGTGGATTCACCTTCTTTAGAATGGATCATAAAGGACTGGGGGATGAAGAGACTTCACTGGCCATAATTGTTTTAAAATCATTTATTTCTATTTAACTGGACAGTTTTTTTTCCTCCCCCAGTCCCTCTTTGAAATAGCCACATACTGAATTTAACATTAAAAGGCTTTCTGACTGAAAAATATAGAAAGGCAGGGAAACGAGCAGCCCACCAATGGATAAAATATTAATCTTTCATTCCAAGGCTCTTGCTCATCTCCAAACAGAAGTTCCTGGGGGATATGGGTATCTAGCATTTGCTTCCAGTCTCAGATCTTTCCCACAGACTCTGCGGGTTCTTTCAGGTAAGGGCTGTTGGAGTTAGGCTAGCAGGGCTGTGCCTGGAAGTCATAGCAAGTATAAGAGGTATATTAGAGAAACAGTGGAGACAATCAGTGTACTAAGCTATCACCTATATGAACGTCTCAAGAATATGTCACAAACAAAAAATGCATGCCTAACAAAAAATGCATGGTCTCACAGGAAGCAGGTGAAAGTAGTGAAACACTGAAGTTTCTGTCCATGTGTTACCAAAAATCATTACACCATCAAAATTTTGTGTTTTGAAGATATAGCAAATCATTTCCACTACCTGATTTACTTGTTATTCTACTCCCCCTCATCCCCCATTCATCTCTTTCTGTTGTGGTTTTTATCAGGTTTTGTAGAGAGCATCCATTTAACCAGCACAATCAATGCTGAATTTTTATAACTGGGCATTCAAAAAATCTGACACCAGTTTAGAAAGTCTGGCTTTTAGAACAAAAATCCCAGTAGACAATGGCCATGTTTGCCTTTGTGTATGTGCAGCATCTTTGCATGATGTGGGCTAATTAACAGATGACATTACAGCTGTGATCAAGAAATGGGAGAAAAATCCTGCCTGCAGGCTATGATTACATATGGGGCAGAACACCAGCATCCCTGTGGCAGTTGTTCTGGATTGAAGAATAAGAATAATAAGAATTGCTGTCTGGGGACCACAGGATTCATACAGTCATAGATCAAGAAAGCTGTTATCAGTGCTGACATGTTTTACACCAGTTTGGCCCTGGTCCTTCTGCCTATCCTCAAGGCACAGAAATTGAGCAGTGAAAGTCATCACAAGCTTGCCACACAAGGGGAATTTCACCCTACTGCTTCTACAGCATTTTGCTGAGAACTGCCACTGAAGTGAGAAGCATTACTATTGCATTTACTATTCCTGAAAGCAAAGCTTGACACTATGTTTGTTAGGAAAACACAGAGTGCCTCTGAGCATAGAGCTTTTCTCTGCAGCAGCACCCCCTGGGTTAAATTTAACACTGTTTTCCCTGAAGAGGATTCTCTAATGCAGCATTAGTGCTGCTGACTTCAGCAACATCTCAGCCGTCTGCTGCAAATGCAGTCATCAGCACCAAGGCACTCCATGGAGTATGAGAGACAGGTAAAGGCAGAAAGGGCAATACACATTAAACAAAATAGATTGGATGTGCTGTTAGAAGAAAAGCCCTCCCAGCTGCCCCTTTCTCTGAGTGGTGAGAAAGGAGCAGTATGTTAGGTTACAAATCTGCATAAGGAATAAAGGCACTGTTTGCTTCCTGTTACAGGGTAATGTTAGTGAAATAGAGTAAAAGTTCATAATACTGAGTTGTTTCTGTTGGTGGGGAGAGAAATGCCAGCAATATGTATCCGAGGGAATTATATCTGACCACTGTTTTGCCATCCCTGGCAGCAGCTTTGGAAAGTATGTCATACCAAAAGGGTTTTGCAATTTCTGCACCATTTGTCATATATTCCCATCTAGTGCTCAAAATAATGATTCTCAGTAAGCTTCCAAAAAAATCTACATAATTCTGCTGCATCAGTTATAATTGAAACATAGTAATTAATAGCTCTTGGAATACCCCAGCTATTTTATTAATCTGGAACACAGTTGTTATAAGAAAACAAAAAGACACTGTTTTATAATGTTTTTCATTCTTTTTCATTAGAAAACTATAGTTTAGGCAAAAATAAAAAATCTTAAACAGCCTAAATTGGAACATGGTAGAAATAAAGAAATCAGTATGGTTTGAGTTAAGGTGTCTCTTGAGAAAGGGCTTTCCAAAGATGAGAGTCGTCACATAGTGGTTGAAATCATCAGAACTAAGGAGAACCTAAGCCTCTTGTCTCTTCCCAAAGAGCTTCTTTAGTGTTAGACAAGAACTTGGTTAGGCAGTAGTTACAATGAATTTTACCTTCCACTGAAGCTGAGCCCACCAGGGAAGCTGGTAGCACTTCTGTGAAAGCATACTTTAGAAAAGGAAAATATTGTGCAGACTTTGAAGAATGAGGAAAAAGTGTGAGAAAGAATCCTAAAAACACCAAGGTCAGTGAAGGAGAAAGAGGCACTCCAGGAGCTGTAGGAGATAGTCTCCTTCAGGCTGTGAGTTTTGGAAGAGATCATAATGGATTTAGTATTTCACTGGAATTCATGGAGAATATCACACCAGAGCAGATATTCACACTGCAGCACGTGAAGGAACCCAATCCAGGGCATGTTGATATTTCCTGAAGTGCTGCTACCTGTGGAGAGACCATGCTGCTGGTTTATCCTGAAGGATCGCAGCCTATGGTATGGACTCATGCAGGAGCAAGGAAATTATTTAAGGAGAAAGGTGCAGCCTAGAGGAGCTAGACCCACCAAAAATCCCCACTCCCTATCCCCCCTGCACCATGTGAGGTGTGGAGAAAGAAGAGTCAGGAATGAAGCAATAAAGTTTCTAGGAAAAAGTAAAGCAGGTGAAGGTATTTTAATCTTCATCTTTATTTCTTACTACCCAAATCTATTTTAATTAGCTATAAAGCAAATACATTTTCCCCAAGTCAAGTCTCATTTGCCTGTGATGCCAGTCTCTAACTGGTCCCCCTGGATTTATCTCAACCCACAAATTTTTCCGGTCTTATTTTCTCCCTGTCTCCTGTTGAGGAGGAGGAGTCAGCGTGGCTGGGTGGGAATTTGGTAGCCAGCCAAGGTCAACCCACTACAGAGAGTTTGCACCAGTGCAATAAAGATGAGGACACAACTCAGACTGTATTGTTCAGCAACACTTTTCCTCTGAGACTCACCAGTTACTTGCATATTGATTTGGTAAAAAAGTCATCAGCCCAAGAGCTAATATCAATGTATAGATCACGATTTAAACTACAATGATGAACAGCAGTTAGCTACAGAAGCAGCAAACATCCTTCCAACAATAATGCATT